AAAAAAGAAAATAGAATGAAACCATTGAAAGAAGAGATAGGGCCAGGTGTGGTGGCTCAAATCCTGTGGATCAAATCCTTTGAGAGGTCTAGGTGGGAGGATCACATGAGGCTAGGAGTTCATGACCAGCCTGGTCAACAAATTGAGACCCTGCCTCTACAAAAAAATATATTAAAAGTTAGCATCGTGGCACATGTGTGGAGTCCCAGCTATCTAGGAGGCTGAGGAAGGAGAATCACTTTAGCTCAATAGTTGGAGGCTGCAGTGAGCTATGATTGTGTCGCTGCACTCCAACCTGGGCAGTGGAGCAAGAATCTGTCTATAAAAAAAAAAAAAATAGGAGACAGTAGAGCCAAAGATCAATTCAGACATTATTACCAGAGACGTAGTTAGAAAATGCTGGCTTCTAAGTAAAGACTTCTCTTTAGAGTAAGTAGAACTCTAGGCTTTTTGATTATTGTATCCAAGGTCAAAGTCTGTCTTTTTTAAAACTAGAAAATTAAAATTTTATTAAGTGCCTGATATGTGTCAGGCACCCTTTCAAAGCGTTTATAAAGGTTCTCTTGCTTAATTCTATCAACCCTACTACAAGCTTGAGATTATTATCCTGATTTTCAAATGAAGAAACTAAGTTTAGAGAGGTAAGTGCCCTGAGCAAATCTCCTAATACTTCCCCTTTTATAAAGAATTGTGCTCATTTTTCACCTTCAGGGCCTTCATTTTGCATGAGAGCCTGCTGTCAGCCATAATCTTGATCGTGACTTGGATATTCTGTAAAAAAAAAAAAAAAAAAAAAAAAAACTTTTAAAATGATGATTTAGCCCATGTCCTTAGTGTGTAGCCTCTCAGTTCTTTCAGTCCAAGCCTGACTGATACTCTTCTTGCTCTTAAACACTGAGAACACTTGAGAGACCTTTATGTAAAACTGGTTATGACAATATAATGTGAACACTGAGACTTTGAATTTAGAATGAATCATGAAGAAATGCCAGCAATTCTTTATAAGCATCAGAGAAGAAAATAACTGGACAATATTATAAGGTCTATGGTGTCAGAAGTTGAGTTTAACACAGAGGCACCTTTCTGCATGGTTTTTCTGCAAAGCTTAAAGATTAGCCTCCCCATGAGTCACCTTGCAGGACTGTGATACAAATCAGTAAAACTCTGTCTCATGGCCCCTGGGTTACTCTGTTTTACTCAGGCCCATCCCAATTAAGGTGGGAAGAGTTGGGAACCTTGTATACAAGGGAAGAGGACCTGAGACCTAAAGTAGGAGAATGGACAGAATTATAGAACTTGAGCTAAATTAACCCAGAGACCACCAGAAGAGTGTAGTAGAATGTTATAGGATATGATTAGGATTACTGGCTAAGAATCAAATATAAGGAAGACCATAGGAGATGTGATCTGGGAGATGGTTGGGGTTAAGTGCCCATTGAAATTTTTGACTCCAAGAAATGTCTGAACCTAATCCAGAGAGATAAAGAACTCTCTGAACAAGTACAGAAGCCTTTCAGGAATTTATTTGCAGTCCACAGAAGCAAAACAGTAAGCTCTCAGATCTCTAGAGTTCTGTAGTAGAGTGTCCACTTCTCTAGTTTCATGCAAAAGCTGTGTTTCTGAAGGCACTGCTGAATGTTGTGATACGCTCACTCTGCTCAGACGGCATGTTTAAAAAATTAGTTTATTAATCCATTTACTTTAGAGAAAGTAGCTGAGAAAGTCATAGCATATTGATCATATTATGCTAATGGAGGGTTATAAACCTTTGCAAAACTCAAAAAAAAAAAAGAAACAACCATGAGTTCTTGTCCCAGTCTTTTTTATGCTGTTATAGCAGAATACCATAGACTATGTACTTTATAAGAACAGAAATTTACTTAACGATTCTGGAGGTTAGGAATCTGAAGCTGAGGGACTGTCTCTGGTGAGGGTTGTCTTGCTATGTTATAACATGACAAAGGTATCACACTGGTGAGAGAGAGAGAGAAGCAAGCCAAACACCCACTTTTATAAGGACCCCTCTCCTATGATAATGGCATTAATCCATTTATGAGGGCAGACTGCTCATGACGTAATCACCTCTTAAATGTCCCACCTCTATCAACACTGTAATGTGCATTAAGTTTCCAACACATGAAGTTTGGGGAAGACATTGAAACCATAGCAGTTTTCATTTCAGAAAAGATTATTCCTTCCTTCCTTCATTTCTTTCTTTCTTTTCTTTCTTCTTTTTTTTTTTTTTTTTTTTTTTTTTTTTTTTTTTTTTTTTTTTTTTTTTTTTTTTTTTTTTTTTTTTTTTTTTTTTTTTTTTTTTTTTGTTTCGCTCTGTCGCCCAGGCTGGAGTGCAATGGCGTGATCTCGTCTCACTGCAAACTCCACCTCCTGGGTTCAAGTGATTCTCCTACCTCAGCCTCCCAAATAGCTGGGATTATAGGCATGTGCCACCATGCCCAGCTAATTTTGTATTTTAAGTAGAGATGGGATTTCTCCATGTTGGTCAGACTTGTCTTGAACTCCTGACCTCAGGTGATCTGCTTGCCTTGGCCTCCCAAAGTGCTGAAATTACAGGCATGAGCCACCGTGCCCAGCTTCTCTTCCCCTTATTTCTAAGCCAGGGTCTAATTTTCCCAATGATACAGTTTCAAAAATGAGTAAGTCTGTTGTAGGTATGTGGAAAAATTATTTAATAAATTCTATTCCCTTTCTTCTCCATCCCGGGGACACACTGGGCCTGTTATGGACTGAAAGCTTGTGTCTGCCTCTATTAGTTCATTTTACTGCTGCTATAAAGAACTGCCCAAGACTAGGTAAAATTTATAATGGAAAGAGGTTTAATTGACTCAGAGTTAAGCTTGGCCAAGGAGGCCTCTGGAAACTTACAATCATGGAAGAATGTGAAGGGGAAGCAATGCACGTTCTTCCCAAGGTGGCAAGAAGGAGAAGTGATAAGTCCCTTATAAACCACCAGATCTCATGAGAACTCACTATCACAAGAACAGCATAAGGGAAACTGCCCCCATTATTCAGTTACCTCCACTTGATCTCTCCCTCGACACCTCAGGATTATAGGGATTATGGGGATTACAATTCAAGATGAGATTTGGGTAGGGACACTAAAGCCTAACCATATCACTCCCCTACATACTTACATTGAAATCTTAATTCCAAAGGTGATGGTATTAGGAAGCAGACGATTTTGGGAGTTAATAGATTATTAAAACAGAACCCTCATAAATGGGATTAGGGTCATCATAAAACAGGCCCCAGAGAGCTGCCTTGTGACTTGTATCATAAGAGGATGCAGAGAGAGGGGACATTTGTGATTTAGGAAAACAGTCCTCCCTGGACAACAAATTGGCCAGTGCCTCTTTCCAGACTCCAGAGCTGAGAACAACTTACTTCTATTGTTTACAAACTGCTGAATTCATGGTGTTTGTGGTTTTTGGCCTGGATCAGCTAAGACTGGGGGGCATAGGACCCCACGTAGTGGGCACAAACAGAAATGTTTTCATTTATTCTAAAATTAGAAGAAAAATCATGTTGTTTCGAGTTGAAGAACATTTTTTAACATATAGTAATAATACATTCTCTTTATAACAACACAATGGGATATATATCTTACCATTTGATAGATGAAGGGGCCCAAGAAGGCAAAAGTATTAATATCTAGGGTTTTGGAACATCATAATGTGAATTAAATACTATAAAAGTCTTATTTGTAGTGAAAGTAACAATCTGCACCAAAATCCAAACACAAGAGAATGAGTAAACTTTTGTAGTCATTGTCCTTAATGGCCTCTAACTAGAAGCTTCCTTTTTCCGGGGAAGGTGTCCTACCTGGAGGGTCTGGAGTAGGTTTCTTTCAGCTCTTGCAGTTCAACCTCAGTTGATCTCTTCTTCTTTCCATGTTGGAGCTTCTCAGAGCTCAGATGAAAAAGGTTTTCCTGAAGATTACAGATACTGCCTCCTATTTTAGGAGAAATGAGGGAGTTTTGTTATGCATTTTATCAATGACCCAACTTTCTCCTAATCCACACAGATGAGCTGACATGAAATAATGATTTAAAGAGGACAGATGATTTAAGAGGTCCCAGTGGGACATGGCAGCAGTAGGGCAGCTCCTATATTAAATAAGACAGCCTCACCACCAGACAACTATTTCCTCAGCTCTGTGGGCCCTGGAGATTGTTGTGGGTGGGAGCAATCCTGCCAGCAGAAGAAGAGAAACAGAAATCAGGAGGAAGTACAGGACCCCAAAAGTAAGCTAGAAGAAAAACAGTGAGCAAATCTATTGAAAACAAAGGTGTTCTAAAATTATGCTGAAAGTGAGGAAGCTGTGTTTGCTATCTTACCTTTGAGATCAAGTGTCTCAAGATGACTGTCATCTGTCACACATCTTCATAAGATCCCCCATAACCTCAGAATTTTTGACAACAAAGAATAAGCCTCAATATTGTAGCGCTCAAAGCTGCATTATCTCCCCAGGTTTTGTCTGTTTGTTTGTTTTGTTTTGTTTTGAATAAATAGTTAAATCACCCATTCTCTAGGAAAAAAAATAAGATGACATATTGAGAACTATGAAAGTTGGTTCACTCCAATCGTCTGAAGAGAAACAGGAGTCTACTTATGCACTTAGAAAAGCTGTACATATGTGTCTGCCTCTAGGATCATGTAATAAAACAGAGACCTTTAGGGTATTAAATTGACTGAGGTTAGTGACAATAATCACAGGGTAGCAGTGAGATATGGCTTTGGACTTTAGGAGTTCTGAATGGGCAATATATGGTTTCAAAGATACTATGAATTTGGGGTCATAAAGGCCATTCAGTATTTAATACAGGATTGGCCAATTACTTTGTACACTGATTATTCTGGTTTGACTTTCACCAATAGTAATAATTTACTTAAAGGAATGTTAGGGAATTGCATAAAAACATATCCACCCAAATCAGAGATTGTATAAAACATTGAATTGGCAAATCAGACCCAAAAAAATGATAAATCTACATTTACAGTGAGATCATCATGAGGCTGATAATGTGGTATGTCCACATAATATTATGTTTGTCTATCTCTGACACTCAGAGTATCAAATTATTCTGTTATTCTACCTGAGGAAAAAAACCAGGAAATCCAACAAATCTGAAAAGTGTTGGGCTCACTGGGTTGAACTTGGAAAATGGCAACCAACCCTTAGGATTCTCTCAGTGTTCATAATAGCTCTTGGCATCGTGGGAATCTAGGTAGTTTCTCTATCTTTTCCTTATAGGGAGTATGTCTAGATTCCTGATCTGAACGTTTTATGCTAGTCATGGCAAAACAAAAACACATACAAACACAATACCACTATTTTCATATTTGCAAAAATACAAACCTGTGAAATATTTTCAATTTGCTTCTAACTCCCAAGACACATGTTTACTGAATTCTTGATATGTGCATGGACTCCTTTCCATGTACACCAGAAGGAGACATTGTAGTAGCCCAAACTGGATTACCTGTGATCCCTATTATCCTCTCTGTATAATTCTCCCCTACCTCTGGTGTGTTTTTGTTCCTAAAATTCCTCTGAGTAGGACTACCCTTGGGTTATTAGAGCCATTTTGTACCCATAAATACCATAAAATAGGGATGTATATGGCAGTGTGTAATCTACATATCCCATTTATTTCTCCTTCTCCAAGGCACTCAGCCAATCACTAACAGGTTCAGGAAGATGAAATATTGGTTTACTGGTCTGGGGATGAACTCTTTAAAATAATTTGCTTCCCAAGTTTCCCTGCTGCTATTAGGACAAAGCTCCTCCATGAGTCTTTGCCTGAAATTATATATATAAAGCAATAAACTCAAAATGGATCGAAGACCAAAATGTTAGATCTAAAATATAAAATCAATATTGTTAGCCAGGCGCGGTGGCTCACGCCTGTAATCCCAGCACTTTGGGAGGCCGAGGCGGGTGGATCACGAGGTCAAGAGATCGAGACCATCCTGGTCAACATAGTGAAACCCCATCTCTACTAAAAATACAAAAAATCAGCTGGGCATGGTGGCGCATGCCTGTAATCCCGGCTACTCAGGAGGCTGAGGCAGGAGAATTGCCTGAACCCAGGAGGCGGAGGTTGCAGTGAGCCGAGATCGCGCCATTGCACTCCAGCCTGGGTAACAAGAGCGAAACTCCGTCTCAAAAAAAATAAAATAAAATAAAATAAAATCAATATTGTTAAAATGGCCATATTGCATAAAGTGATTTACAGATTCAATGCTATTGCTAACAAACTACCAACATCATTTTTCACAGAATTAGACAAAAGTATTGTAAAATTTATATAGAACCAAAAAGGAGCCTAAAGTCAAAATAGTCATAAGCAAAAAGAACAAAGCCAGAGGCATCACATTATCCAACTTGAAACTACTACAAGCCTGCAGTAACCAAAACAGCATGGTGCTGGTACAAAAACAGGCACATAGACCAATGAAGCAGCTTAGAGAACACAGAAATAAAGCCCCACACTTACAACAATCTGATCTTTGACAAAGCTGACAGTAATATGCAATGGGAAAAGGACTCCCTGTTCAATAGAGGGCACTGAGATAACTAGCTAGCCATATGCAGATTAAAACTGAATCCCTTCCTTTCACCATATACAAATATCAATGTGAAATGAATTATAGATTTAAATGTAAGACCTAAACCTATAAAAACTCTAGAAGAAAACCTAGGAAGTACCATTCTGGATATAGGCCTTGGCAAAGATTTCATGGCTAAGCTTCCAAAAGCAATTACAACAAGAACAATGATGAAAAAAACCGACAAGTGCAATAAATTGCTTCTGCATAATAAAAGAATCTGTCAACAGATTACATAGACAACTTACAGAAAGGAGAAAATAATAGCAAACTATGCATCTGACAAGGATCTAATATTCACAATCTATAAGGAACTTAAATCAACAAGCAAAAAACCAACAACCCCATTAAAAACTGGGCAAACAAGGTGAACAAATACTTCTCAAAAGAAGACATATATGTGGCTCACAAGCATATGAAAAAATGCTTAACATCACTAATCAAAGAAATGCAAATCAAATTCACAGCGAGCTACCATCTCACACCAGTCAGAATGGCAATTATTAAAAGTCAGAAAATAACAGATGTTGGTGAGGTTGCACAGAAAATGGAATATTCATACACTGCTAGTGGGAATATGACTTAGTTCAGCCACTGTGGAAAGTAGCTTGGAGATTTCTCCAGGAACTTAAAATAGAACTGCCACTCAAACCAGCAATCTCATCACTGGGTATATACCTAAAGAAATACAAATTATTCTGCCAAAAAGACACATGTACTCATATGTTTATCACAGCATTATTCACAATAGCAAAGAAATAAAATCAGTTTAGATGCCCATCAATGGTGGGCTGGGTAAAGAAAATGTGGTACACCATGGACTATTATGCAACCACAACATACTGTGTCTTTTTTTTTTTTTTTAAGGGATAAACATATTCTTTGCGGCAACATAGATGAAAGTCCTAAGCAAATTAATGCAAGAACAGAAAAACAAATACCACACGTTATCACTTATAAGTGGGAGCTAAACATTGAGTACACATGGAAACAAAGGAAAAATAGACATGAGGACATATTTGAGGGTGGAGGGGGGAGGCAGGTGGGGGTGGAAAAAAATACCTATCAAATACTATCCTCGCTAATTGAGTGACAAAGCATTTGTATACCAAACCCCAGTGACATGCAATTTACTCATGCAACAAACCTGCAGATGTAGTGCCAGATCTGAAAATAAAAGTTGAAAAAGAAATATAAAATAAAATTTTAAACCACACAAAATATTTTTTCTATAAATTGAAAACTCTACAAAACTAATGTTGGTACTATCTTCCATTGTGCATCAGATGAAATATACATACACATATATATATCTGTGTGTATATGTATGTATATACGCATGTACATATGCTATATATATTATTTTGCATAATGTTGATTTGGAAAAGTAAAGGTTACTGAAGAGAAGATAGTTTGTCTATTAAAAATAATTCCACATAAGAAAAAGACTAAGTCACATGTAGTGACGAATGATCAAAGGAATGTTAAAATTTTGCTTTATGTTTTAAAAATGAAAAAATCATATTAATCCATTTCCCCTAATCACTCTTATATTTTAGACTAATCAGCAATGGAAGATCCTTAGGGCTTTTGAGAAGTTATGCATAATAAATATAAAAAAACACAAAGCATACGCAAGTTTCAATAGCCAAATCGACCAAGCAGAAGAAAGATATCAGAGAGTTGAAGATCAACTCAATGAAATAAAACAAGAAAGCAAGGCTAGAGAGAAAGGAGTGAAAAGAAATGAACAAAGCCTCCAAGAAATATGGGATTATGTGAAAAGACCTAATCTACATTTCATAGGTGTACCTGAATGCGACAGAGAGAATGAATCCAAGCTAGAAAACACTCTTCAGGATATTATCCAGGAGAACTTCCCCAACCCAGCAAGGCAGGCCAACATTCAAGTCCAGGAAATACAGAGAACACCACAAAGATATTCCTCAAGAAGAGCAACCCCAAGGCACATAATCATCAGATTCACTAGCGTTGAAATGAAGGAAAAAATGCTAACGACAGCCAGAGAGAAAGGGCAGGTTACCCACAAAGGGAAGCCCATCAGACTCACAGTGAATATCTCTGCAGAAACCCTATAAGCCAGAAGAGAGTGGGGGCCAATTTTCAACATCCTTAAAGAAAAGAAATTTCAACCTAGAATTTCATATCCAGCCAAACTAAGCTTCATAAGCAAAGGAGAAAGAAAATCCTTTATGGGCAAGCAATTGCAGAGAGATTTCCTCACCACCAGGCCTGCCTTACAAGAACTCCTGAAAGAAGCACTAAACAAGGAAAGGAACAACCAGTACCAGCCACTCCAAAAATGCATCAAATGGTAAGGAGCATCAACACAATGAAGAAAATGTGTCAACCAGTGGGCAAAACATCCAGCTAGCAGCAAAATGGCAGGATCAAATTCACATATAACAATATTAACCTTAAATGTTAAAGGACTAAATGCCCCAATCAAAAGACACGGACTGGCAAATTGGATAAAAAGTCAAAACCCATGAGTGTGCTGTATTCAGGAAAAGCATCAAACATGCAAGGACACATATAGGCTCAAAATAAAGGGATGCAGAAAGATTTATCAAGCAAATGGAGAGCAAAAATAAAAGCAGGAGTTGCAATCCTAGTCTCTGATAAAATGGACTTTAAACCAGCAAAGATCAAAAGAGACAAAGAAGAGCATTACATAATGGTAAAAGGATCAATGCATCAAGAACTAACAATCCTAAACATATATTCACCCAATACAGGAGCACCCAGATACATAAAGCAAGTTCTTAATGACCTACAAAGAGACTTAGACTCCCACACAATAATAGTGGGAGACTTTAACACTCCACTGTCAATATAAGACAGATCAATGAGAGAGAAAATTAACAAGGATATCCAGGACTTGAACTCAGATCT